CCCCTCCTCCCCGCCTCCTTGGCCGAAAAAAGAAACTTGTGGAAATGTGAAGCAAATGGTCTCCATGATAGGCCCGATCTGTACAACGGTTTGGTATTCCAGGGGCTGGAGAAATCGAGCACTGAGAAAGTGAAGCTCTGAACTACTGGTGGTTTTAAACCACCTGTCTACACATGAAGTGGGGGTTGAATTGTGAGGTCCCCCGGCTCCCTCTTTGTGAGCTCGATTGAGAAGCCCTATAAGGGCACCTTTTGTTTAAAAAAAAAAGGAAGCTGAAGTGACGAACCAAGAAATGGATTTTGCCGAGCCTGTGTCCGACCGGTACTGTGGGTTGGCAAATCTAAGGCGTTATGGGTACCAGCAGTGTGTGTGGCAAAAAGGCGGCACCGTTTTGCCATCACTCGACAACTCACAAGATGTGAAAGTTGAGTATGAATTGTCTGCTAGAACATGGAAAGATACAGTGCCCAACCAGTATTTTCTGCATGTGGTAAATGTTGGAGCGAGTCCCTGACGTGGGCCTCGCAACACTACATCACCACATGTAGAAAAGACAAAAAATAAGGGAACTGTATCTTTCTGTCTTTTAGCAGACGATTACTTCTCATTTTGCATATGTACGCATGGTGAGTAGATGTGCAAAATGAGAAGGAATTATCAGGGAGGTTTCCAAGGAGATCGACAAAAATAGAAAAAACAAAAGGGTTTAAAATAAGGTTCTATAAGTATTTGCAGCGGTTCGCTGTCCAAATACGTTTCAGTGTTCTGTAGTGGAGTCGGGCTATGCTGCAGCATCTTCAGCCTGCCCGCTGAGCTGCCAGGGCAGTTCTCCCATAAAATGAAACAACAAGAAATATAAAAACGAAAGACTGACAGAGAAGACAATGGCCCTGCCCTTTTTTTCCAGTGTTTCAGTAACGGGTTCAACTCTTTTTTTGGTAGTTTTTCTCCCTCCCTGAAGTTCTATTCATGTTGCGCCGTGGTACTTCCTTTTCTTTTATTGCCCACCAGTTCAGGCCTACTGTTGCTCTATGGGCCTGGGCGTTGCTCAGGACTGATACTCGCTGATGAGAAAAACAAACAGTGCTGGCCCATTGGACTGGTGGTTTAAGCCACCAGCATTGAAATGTTGCCAGCTTTGGTGTAGGCTCGGCAGATTGCAAGGTAGGCAAACCTTCAAAAAAAAAAAAAAGACAACGTTTTGGATGGTGAGAGTTCGATGGAAGTTGCCCTGGTAAGAAAGCGGAAAGGCCATTTCAGGTGGTCTGCAACTGGCCTCCCACTCTGACACCTTGAGAACGTAGTCGAATGCAGTCGAAGAAGGAAAAAGGCAAAGTACACAATCTGTGTGTAGCTGGACTTGGCATTTTCACTGTTGCGAAATGGCCTCCGTTTCTCAGGGATTCAGGTCTGGAAACAGCGGGGGCTACATCCCACGGGCGACCGTTCGTTTTTTTCAAACACTGGTCTGTCAATCACATGTGACAGTAGGTGATGCCCCGCTGCCTCGCCCTTTAGATCCAGGTGCCGATGATATTTTTGGAAGTCTGCGAATCCACGCTTCTTTTTGCCTGTATGTGGTACGGAGTTCATTGATTTTATGGATTTTTTTCTTTCTTTCAGAAAAGCGGTTTCTTTTGAGATATCTGACCACCTAGGGATGGGGTATTATGTCAACGGTGTTGGACACTTCCCAGTGCCATTCCACTGCCCCCCCCCCCTTCTTGTGCCCAACACGTCCAAAAGCTTCATGATGAGTCTGAAGGAGAAGGTATGAAAACGATGTCATGAGGATGCACGGCGCAGGGAAATGCATCCACATTCACTCACATAAATGGTGAGGCAAGAATCTGCACTTGGAGCTTGCAGGTATCCTCCTGCCCGTTGTGTTTCTCTTAGGTGTCGGGCATCTGTTGTATTCACGAATTTCTTTTGCAATGTACATTTGTTTTGATTTTGTATAGGCCGAAAATGTGTCACACCAGTGAGTTTTCTCAACTTAATGGGGGCTGGTAGGACAGATCCTCGGGAGTTTTGGTGGTGTAAGATTGGGACAATATACTGTATATCGTGCAAGGAACCGAACTGTTTACAGCTTGCTTGAGAGCATCACATTGCACGCATACATGTTATCACACGTACAAAATGGTCTCACACGAGACCCAGATAGAGATGAGATGATAACCAGTAGTGCAGCTTATATTAACAATGTCATTGAATACAAAGTGTATCACGAGTTCCAGAGATCAGAGCCAACACAAGATAAGTCTCCCTCTTCAAACATCTGCATGAGACCTGGTTCTACCAGGGTCCTTCTTCGGAACTCAAGTGTGGCTCACAGGTAAGTGTTCACCATATCCAGCATACTCCTTGTCTTCTTTCTCTCTCTCTAGAACTATGTCTTAGTTCTCTCTCTTCACTCGGCATATATACTCTCACTTACGAAGATCTACTTTGAATGCACTCACTGATATCCTACTGACTAACTCTCTCTCTCTACTAACATGGGCTGGTGCTGCTATGGCTTCCCTTCAGCCAGCGCCCAGCCTCCCTTCTTGCTGGCGCAGCTCTACTTCAGCCAGCGCCCATCCAGCCAGCTAGCGCACAAGTGCCGCAGCACTTCCACGCATCACTGCCAATGGAATCTCTGTCTTGGGAGGAGGCAGCTTCGTCTTATATAGTGCTGGCCTCCTCAATCGAGGGCTGAATATTGTCTGTCTTGGGTCCTTTCCCCAGTCCCAGCCTCTGTGTATGTGTCCCAGATTCCCAGTCCTTCAAGGGTTGCTGCTGCTGCGGCCTGTAGGCCTCAATTTCGGACAGCCCATCTGTATCTAGACTAACCCCCTGACTCGAATCTGAACCGAGACTTAAACTCTTGACTTTCTTTTTGACAGACACATCTTTGGCACGACCAGACACTTTCATTGTACGAACAGACACACTGACTGCACGTACAGACACACCTTCATGTGAACAGACATGACTCGCATATCCCCTGAACGAACAGATGTGACCCGAACTTGGATTTTGCAACTGTTCGTCCAGGGGCACAACTATGACTTTTGCAAATGTCTCTTGCTTGAGTTTAGATGTGACTTTTGACCAGAAAACATGTCCTTTGATCTGCTTTCACGACCTGGGCTCTGGGTGAGATACCCCATTATGCTGCCACCTTCGGACAGGGGCTGAATCGGGTAAAGGCCCTTTTAATCGCATGTCTAGATGTTGTTGGTTTTCACTGAGTTTTGCAAATTCACAGAGATCATGCAAAAGTTTGTAACTAGAAGTTTGTAATTGAGACGAAGGGCTTTGGCCTCAGCCTGTAACCATTTTTCTGTTTTTTGACAAAGAAAAAAGAACTTTGGAAGAGTAGGTTTGCTCTGTTCCATGCTGATGAGCTGTTTAGCTTGGTAACGGGAGACTGGATTCTACTAGCTCCAAGTGCTGGACCAGCTTGTACTCCCCTTTGCGTCTTCATGAGATTTTTAGCGTGTTGACCGTGTGTTCTGTCTGTTTATGTGCCTGCCACGGGCGAATCTTCCACAGGGAAACTGCGAAGTGGTAGCTGCGTTTGCAGGGGAGGAGAGTGTCCACTTGGAGGGACCGGAAGCCGTGGCCGAGTTGAAGGAGTTGTCGCGGTTGTTGGATGTGTGTCTGCATTTTTCGAAAAAACCATTTTTGCAGTTCCTTGAGGCAACGGGATTCTCAACCGATCAAGTCCTTCAGAAGGAGGGAAGGGCAGGGGTAAGAACGTTCTTGGCCAAGAAATCAACTACGTGCTCAATGCTCATCGATTAATCAACAAAGCATTACAACCTTCCTGCACAACAGCACTCCGCCACAAACTGTTTATCCGAATTCACCCGTAGCTGTCACAGACTAATATTAGGTGTGACGAGTCTGCCAATCCTCTGCACAGTGTGCGAGGGCGTTTGGAGTGGTGTTGTTGTGGGGTCAAGCAAGTTCCCATATGTGTAGATTCACCTTGCTAGGCCTGTGGACTGTTAAGGTAACCCCAGTGGCTCCTGACATTTATGTCTCCCTTTTAATGTTCCTTCGGCTGGGTGAAACACTATGTTTACAACTTGACACTCATCCCAATCGGATTCTAATGTTCTTCCCACTTGGCCATTCGATCTACTGTCCTGGAGAATGCAACCGGAAAAGTGGGCTGCGTCCCTCAAGTCCCTACGGGACTTTGCTGGCACCAGGCAAATCCGAACGGCCATGAAAACTAAGAGTTGTGCTGCAACTTTTTTTTTTTCCCAGTGTTACAAGTGGCCTGAATGGATATTATCTTGCCACTTGTTTTTTCTTTCTTTTTGACGGAACAGTGCTCCAATCTATTTGGTGGGAGCAGCACGTGCTGGGAACTGGGCCTGGCATCCCATCTGAAAACATATGAAAAACAGCTTAATATACCGGGGCCGTTACCCGGCTTCAGATGAGAATATAATTTAGAACAACTACAGAATTCAAGACAGGTTACGAGGAAACTGTGAATCCTATTGAATTGACTTTGGAATCACTGAACACAACCTACAATCCCCAGCAGTCATCCGAATACCCAAATGCGTAAGGGTTGTCTAACATATCCAACCAAAAGATGCTATCTTGCTACTTATGAACCAGTTCTACCAAAATCTAGCTTTGAACTGCTGCTGCTCCTGTGGTTCTGTTTGCATCAGCTTCTTTGTTTTTCTCGAATTGTCTCTGATTTCTGCCTCAATCAGGTCCTTTGCTAGAGGTCCACTCCACACTTTCTCCCTTTTGTTGCGTACGTCGTCCAGTATGATCCTGTATCTTTATATCCAAGTGACCCTCAATGTTGCCTGTCTTATTATACCACACCATAGGAGGGGATAATGAGGCAGGCAACATTACGGGTCATTAATAAGGCAGTGTTCTGGAGCAAAAATATAGGAGGGTGATGAAGATAGGAGGGGATGTTAGTCCAAAGGAGATGTCCTGGGAAGGAAGAAAAGAGGTCACTAGCTCTTGGCCAGTGTGTCTGTAGCTTCTTTACAGTTAATCAGGCAGTGGAGGATGTCGTCCCTGTTATGTACCCAATTGAACTTCAATCCACAACGAATTCACGCGTTCCCATACACGCATGCAATTGCAGAGTAGACTCGAAGGAGGCAAATCCACACAAAACCGGAGAGAAGACATGCAAAGCGGAAGCTCAAAATATACAGAGAATTAAAAAAACGAATTTCAATTCTGCAATCCCTCGTCCTCCCAAGAATCACATGTGTTTACAACAACCCCGAACAACTAAAAACAAGTGTTCAACGAAGTATGCAGGAGTCTTCTTCTTCCTCCTCGCCACCTCATACCCTTGGCTATGGCTTCCGTAGCAGCAGTAACCCCACAGCTGTCACAACGTACCAATCTGAACCAGCAACCCCAATGATAGCAGCGCCAGCTCAGCGCCTGCACGGATGTGCAGTGCTGGAAGTCGTGATGAAGAAGGAGACAACTGATCCAGCACTTTGAAGAAGATGAAGTTCCTCGTGAGGAACAACAGGTATGGCTGCCAAGTGGAACATGGCAGCACCCAAACCCAACATCACAGTCCTGTGGAAGCGCTAATGCAGAGCTGTGAAATAGCAGCAGTGTGGTCTTCAACTTCGTTTCCCAATCCCAGCTATGGCTGGGCTTTGAGGAAGAAGATGACCTCGCCCAAAATAGAGCAGCAGGCTCCAACAACGGACGGGCAGAGTTTCCCCAGCCACACAAAACAAGAAAAGACCCCCAACCAAATTTCCTGCCCGCTACTTCTACCCTCTGCCAAGACCTACGAAGGACTCCAACGGCAACAACCCAAGACTCATCTGTATCTAGATGGAAACAGGGGGAAAAGGGGACCTAGACCTGTGACAAGGCGAAAGGAAAAGGCCGAATGGCCTAAGGCTACCAAACACGGGATAAAGTCCTGCAAGGCGCAAAACAAGTAAACAAACTACAAAGCCAAACACCTAGTGTACAGCCCCACTAGGAAAATGCGATTTATTGCATCCCGCTCTTGTAGTGCACAGACTCTGCAGATATTGGTTCATTCATTGACTGGGAGGGCTCCGTACATGATCAGCCACTGGAAGCTCCTGATTTAGACAGGACATATGCATGTGAATTTGTGCCATGGGAGGTTCAAAGTCTGCCAAGGGTCTAGGGCCGGTCCTTTTCCAGTCTTTTTTGCTGGTTCTGGGTCATTTGTTTTCAGCAGCATATGGTTACCTTTTTGGCCTGGGTAGCTTTGCTGTTGAAGTTGGAACTAGGAAAGCCAGGATGTTGTACTGGGATGTCTAGGACCCTAAACCCTAGGTTGCTGTATGGAGGTCTCCTGTTGCCTGGTGTTTCTGAGGTGTGGCTTGGGGTGTTGATGGGAGGGGGCTAGGGGATGTGGGAAGGCGGGGTATAATCCTGGGTGAAGAATCTGAAGATTATTCGGTGTAAGGGGGATGATAGTAGACGTGGATGTTGGTATTAGTTGGGTGCGTGGTTGGGATTGAGGGGTTGGAAAATTATTCTGTGGGGTGGAAGGTGGAGAGGTGGGGGAGTAGGAGGGCATATGAGGTGAGTGTTTCGCTGCTCAGGGGTCTGGTTCTAGATGAAAGGAGGGTGGCTGGATCAGGTGTACTTGCATTGGGGACTGATGTTAGTGAGGAATTAGAAGTAATGTTAATGGATCGGGTGTACTTGCGTTGGGGTGTTGATGGGAGGGGGCAAGTGGCTGTGGGAAGGGGGGGTATAATCCTGGGTGAAGATTATTCGGTGTAAGGGGGATGATAGTAGATGTGGGATGTTGGTGTTAGTCGGGTGTGTGGTTGGGGTTGGGGGGTTGTAAAACTATTCTGTGGGGTGGAAGGCGGAGAGGTGGGGGAGCAGGAGGGCGTATGAGGTGAGCGTTTCGCTGTTCAGGGGATTGGTTCTAGATGAACGGAGGGTGGCTGGATCGGGTGTACTTGTGTTGGTGACTGTGATGTTAGCGAGTAATTAGCAGTAATGTTAATGGATAGGGGAAGGAGGACTTAGTCAAAATTTTGGGACTTAGTCTGTCCGTTTTCTCTTTTGAACTTTCACTATTTAGGGTCCTGTTTGGCTTAGATATTGTCATCTGTTCTATCCTGTAGACCGTGAGGGTCTGCTTCTGGCGTGGTGGTCTGTGGGTCTATCGTGATGATGCTCTCTGGTTGTGCTGAGTTGACATGGTTGGCCAATTTTTCATTACTAGTCTGTTTCCTTCTATCGTGCCTAGATTTCCTCCTAGTTAGTATGCCGTGAATCTTTGGATAATTTCTGTTTTTTAGTCTGGGTTATTTTCGATCTGGGTTTTTCAGAGTTAGGGGGCCTGTCTTCGAAGGTCTTTTCCATAGGGCATGTATTTCCGATTCTACGAGTTGTTTGATGGTAATGAGGGGTTTTTCAGAGTTAGGGGGCCTGTCTTCGAAGGTCTTTTCACACCTCCTTTTCCAGATATCCCACAGGGTTGCCTTTCTTATTTGTGAAAGAAGAATAAGTCAAAGCCTTTAAAGGGGGGGGAGGCTTGTGTTGCAGCTCACTCAGGGAAACTTCTCGAGTTTGGCGCAAAGTCCACAATTATCTGTGGGGCTCCACTGCCCACAACTTCCGTGATTCTTACCGGAACATTGCTGACACAACTCTGTCATCTCAGGGGCACTACCGGATCCGATGGCTGCGTTTGACCACTGCTCCACGACGCCAAAAGAAAAACTTGCTGACCCCGATAAAAATCCTAGGGAATCGGATGAGCTGGAAGGCAGTGGAGGGACGGAAGTGGAATGTGGAGGATCCTATCTGTCACCTCAAAACAGTAAGTGTTTTGGTCACTGGTATTTCGTATTTCTCAGGGATCTCGAACGAGGAAGAAGACACTGGGTCGGAAACCGGATCCGTCGCAGAGCCAAACAGTCCGCACTGTGGTCCGGACGTCCAGATCGTAACCAAGGAACAGAACTTAGCGCTGTGTGTCAAGTGTGGTGACATATGGAGCTAGCACAGAATGTATGCCAATCGCGAAATGGAAGGGATGACACAGATTCTGGTGAGGTTGATCATTTTGGAAAAGAAGAAATGCGAAATTTCTCCGTATCCGAACACAGTGATTGAAGTGTCATCCTCGTCAGCAAATTATTTCAGGCCGTCAAATTATAAAAATCTTTCTGTTTGTGCTGGCTGAATGTTCTTATGTCTGGGCTTGCAGCTTTTGAGACCTGCTTTTGTAGTGTTGATGGACAAGGAGAGGGAAGCTGTTTTGCTTGTGATTCGAGGCACACACTCAGTGAAGGACACTCTTACTGCAGTGACTGGTTCAGTTGTTCCATTCCATCACACTGTAAGGGATGAGGTTGGTGTTCGTGAGATCAAGATAGGGTATGCTCATTGTGGCATGGTGGCGGCAGCACGGTGGATTGCCAGATTGGCATCACCAGTTCTCTTGGATGTGCTTCAGAGGCAACCATCTTACAGGATTCAGGTGAAGTACAGAATTTGGCTCTCAACCTTTCTGTGTGTCTGGTCTGCGTCAGAGACATTTATTTATGTGTATGTGGGTTTTGATCTCTGTGTGTGTGTGTGTGTGTGTGTGTGTGTGTGTGTGTGTGTGTGTGTGTGTGTTTCCTTTTTGTCTCCCATGCATGTGACTGCTTATCAAGAGGTCAGCAATGTGAAATCATTGGATATGGAGATATCAGGGTCTACTGAGGCGCTACCCCGTCGAAGGGGAGAGGACTCCTTTGGACAAAAAGAGAGTCTAGACCTGGAGACCTGTGTCAAGGTGTAATGTTCATCTCTGCGTACTAAGTGGAGAGCATCCTAGAGAATCTGCGAGAAGCACAAACAAACAGAGCCTTGCACTCGTGGTTAATAGGTGGTGTCATTTTCAGCGAAATTTTCACCGAAACAGTGCGAAACTGCCATATTTCCCTGAATTTTTACTTTTTTCTTGTTGTTTTTTTTTGAACGGTATGTATGTGCTTTATGGTATATCTGTATTCAGTTTCGGCAAATTTGGATGAGTAACTAAAAAGTTGGCAAAAACACTGAATTCGGAGAAAGATTCGGTGAACTCCGAAAGCTACTCGGAATAGGGTTTTATACCAGGGCTGCACCGGCCACCGGCCGGTTGGACCAGACCGGTCCCAGCCGGGCCGGTTGGTTGGACCGGCCCGGACCGGAATTCCGGTTGGGTCCAAAACCGGGTCGATGTTTTTTTTTTGGTGATGGGGTTGGACTGCGCTTGTCGAGATCTCCCCGAATCCGCAGAGAAAACATGAATGTGCGGATTTTTTTTTCATGGGGTTGGGAAGGGTGGGAGGGGGTGGGGGGGGGGGTCTGGCTGTTCTGGGGGTGTTAGTGGGGCAAGGGGAAGATATGGCCACCGATATGGCTACCGAGTGGGTTCGCTGCCTTCCTCGCGTGCCCACTACCCCTGCGCGCCCGCTGCCCTCCTCCTGCACCCTCTCTCTCTCTCTCTCTCTCTCTCTCTCTCTCTCTCTCTCTCTCTCTCTCTCTCTCTCTCTCTCTCTCTCTCTCCCC